AAAAAAAAAAAAAAAGAAAATGACTATAAGAGTCAAGCCTGGGGCTGGGGATGTGGCTCAAGCGGTAGCACGCTCGCCTCACATGCTTGCGGCCCAGGTTCGATCCTCAGCACCACATACAAACAAAGATGTTGTGTCCACCRAAAACTAAAAAATAAATTAAAAAAAGAAAAAGAATCAAACCCAGTGCCTCACACATGATAGGCAAGTGCTCTACTACTAAGCCATAACCCCAGCCCCTCTTTCAGTAACTCTTGATGTATGTTTCCAGAAACTAATTGGCTCAGGCCAGCTGTGATGGCACATGCCTGTAATCCCAGCTACTTGGAAAGCTGAGGCAGGAGGATCACAGTTTCAAAGCCAGTCTGGGAGATTAAGCAAGAATTTAAAATTTAAAAAAGGCTAGGGATGTAGCTCAATGTCTCAAAATTTAAAAAAGGCTAGGGATGTAGCTCAATGGTAAAGCACAACTGAGTTCAATCCCTACTACCAAAAAGTAGAAAAAAGAAAGAAAGAGGAAGAGAAGGAGGAGGTAAAAGAAGAAGAGAAGATAATTGCTGCATCTCAGACTACAGCTAATCCACATTACCAAAAACACTCTGTTTCTTCTGTGAAGATCAGAGCCCTCTCTATATACACCCAGAATTTTCTGGAGCCAAATAATAAGAATGTCCTTAAAAATATTTGTATCCCCATCTATACTTTCCTCTTTTAATATTAAAAATAACAAAGAAACCAATATAATAGAATTAACAAAGTAAGTGGAAAGATTTGAGAAAATAAGCAAAAATCTATAGCATCATTAACACATCTCAATTCACATGCTGGTATGAGTATAACTAATTAAAAATGATAATGATAAACTATCTAACTTAGGGTTGGGGATGTGGCTCAGTGGTAGAGTACTTGCAACACATGCACAAAGCCCTGGGTTTGATCACCAGCCACACACACACACACACACACACACACACACACACACAAAATCTGATTTAAAATAACTTCATTACATGTTTGTGGTCTGTATGAGAAAATCTCCAAGAACCAATAAAAAGACTTACAAAAAACCTGAGTAACAGAGAGGCCAAGTTCCTTGATGGAAAAGTGAAATAATGTAATGTCTATTGGACTCTTGCTACTCCACCAAATTCTGACAATGAGCATCAGGTATTTTCATTCATTACCACGTACTGCACCTCAGAAAAACAAAGATACAAGGATCCTTAATTTTAAGGAAAGGAACTGGTCCTTTCCTCAAAGGCTTTGAGCTAGTTCTACCCCTAAGAAAAGACAATTACATAGATTAGTGTTATTCAACAAAAGTATCATGTGAGCTACATATGTAACTTTAGAATTTCTATTCGCCATATTATGAAAAGTTAAAAATTATAGCTGGCATGGTGGCACACATCTGTAATCCCAGTGACTCAGGAGGTTAGGGCAGGAGGATTGCAAGTACAAGGTCCATCTCACCAACTTTAGTGAGATCCTGCCTTGAAATAAAAAATAAAAAGGTCTAGGAATATATCTCAGTGGTAAAACACCCCTAGGTTCAATCCCTGGTGCCAAAAAGAAAGACAAAGTAAAAAAGAAACAGGTGAAATTAATTTTAAATTTTTATTTAACCTCAAAATATTATCACTTCAATGTCAATAGTATAAAAATTAGTAATATTGTTAATCATTGAAGTTTGGTGTGTTTTACAATACATCTCAATTCAGACTAGTCACATTTCAAGGGTTTAATACATGTGATTATTGACCATTGTGCACAGATAATTTCAATGAAGCTTTGAGTGTAAAGACATAAGCACATAGGTGATGAGAACCGAGGAGGGATGTCTAATCTAGTTTGGGCAATCAGCATAGGTTTCCTAGAGTCCTGTGAGGATAACCAGGAATCAGCCAGCAAAGGAAGGATGGAAGAAAGAGGTATACAAAGCAGCATTAGCATCGGATATAAGGTGAGAAACAGCACATGACAGGAACTGTCAGTATTAGCAATATTCTAGCATAAAGATGGAAGCAAGAAGCAGTGAGAACAGAGGCTACAGAAGACTCTGACCAAATATACCCATTCTCTCCCTAGCCTAAGTCAGGGGAGGGGCAGCAAAGGCAACAGGGGGAGCTGTCCCTGGTTCTGACACCCAAAGCAGATTCACAATATAGTTCCACCCAGATTCACAGTTCACTTCCACCGAGGCTGGGACTGAACTAACCCAGAGCAAGTCTAGT